AGTGTTGGACAGAGTGTGGCCTCTGTAGTTGGTCAGAGTCTGAATCCCCTTCCACATCTTCCGGGGATTGTTGTTGTGAAAGAGGTCTTCTATTTTCCTCCTGTAGACTCTCTTTGCCTGGTGAATGCCCTTCCTCAGACTAGTTCTGGCTATGTGGTACAAGTTGCTGTTACCTGACTTGAAGGCAACATTGCGGGCCCTGATGTCATCCAGGGCTTCCTATTTGGAAAGATCCGAATCTGTTTGGTAGTTTTAAGTATCAGGCATGACATTAAAAGCAGAAGCTTTGATGCTCCACCTGAGAATAAATCTGTAAGGCTTGTCACCAGCATTCAGACATTAATTCTGTTTGCTTCACAGCCAGACAGGACTCGGGGAAAAAATAAATAAATAAATAAATAAGAGGAAAACCATTCTAGGTGACTATCTCTTGAAGCTCACCAAGAGATTGCCAAGAGTGTGCAAAACAGTAATCAGAGCAAAGGGTGGCTATTTAGAAGAAAATAGAACATAAAACGTGTTTTCAGTTATTTCACCTTTTTTGGTTAAGTACATAACTCCACATGCGTTCATTCATAGTTTTGATGCCTTCAGTGAGAATCTTCCATTGTAAATGGTCATGAAGATAAAGACAACAAATTGAATGAGGAAGGTGTATCCAAACTTTTCCCCCCATCATTCTGACCACAGGATTAAAAAATTGGCCATGAGCCCTGAACTGTTCACCTGTTTGTGGAAATCAAATGTCTCCAGGGAAAAACTGAAGAAGCTAAAGCCATGAGGTTCTTTAGCCTCATGAGACTAAGTTCTGGATGAACCCGTGACCCGCTGACACACGGACTGGAACAACAAATGCTCCTGCAGTAACATGGTGACTGCTCTGGAGCGGACTCTCATGCATGATACCAAAATAGAAGCTAATATTTAAATTTGACCTTGAATGAAAAATGTTGTTATAAAACCTCTTAACTAAGCTTCTTCTTCCGGCTCTTGGTGAGTACAGACGCTTTTTTCTCCTCTCCCTGACTTCTAAGGCTCTTTGTCCTGTCTGTGCACGGCGCTTTCTGCATTTTTTCTGGAAACTGGAAATTATTAAAAATGGATCTGGTCAGTTGGTCTCTCAACACGATTGACAACATTTTTTCAACGATGAGAATGGGAGAAGGGTCTCCCGGATGCCCCTCTGGGACAGAGCCAGCTGGGCATATCATGGACTCCTGGAAACTGTGGAACCTGATGTGCCTCTCTCAACTGTCTGTAGAGGATTCTGAAGACGTCTGGATATTTGTGGTTTTGGTGTCGGGATTCCTGCTGTTTGGCCTGAGCGGTTACCTGACTTACTAGAAAATGAACGAGCTTTCGAGGAATATTGGCTCAATCCCGGAGCTCAGGGATGGGAAGCATCGTGCTGTGAACGCACAAACTCATATATTTGTCGAGATGAGTCGAAAGCTTGGAACTTTGGCTGAGATTCAGGCTCTGGCACAAAAGGTGGATACCATCAAGGAGCGAGTGGACGGATCAGCACGAATTGGGATTGATTAATTACGCCATTTCTGGATCTAGAGGGGTTGAAGACCAACAGAACACTAAGGCAGAGAGGAAAGTATCTCTGTTTGTCCCCAAAACAGTTTTTATCTGAATATGGTGCCCTTGGAGCCTGTGAGGCTGAAGTGATACCCCCCCTCCGAAGAAATGTGGAATGCAGCTGTCGCTATGGTAACTCTTCTCCCTATCCCAGGCTGGGCGGGACTGTGACCGGTGAAGGTCGTGGAACCGTATCTAGGAGTCACTGTGCTCTCTAACCCATTATCTCCCTCCCCTGTCCAAACAGAGGTGATGAGCACTGCCCCATGCGGCTGCACGCACCGAAGACAGTCCCAACCCTACCTCCCCACCTAGTGGACACTTATGTTGTGTAATGTCTGAAGTCTGTGTGCATATCTGTCTCAGGTGTTTTTTTGCATAGCAAAGCTACCCTCTCTGTGGAGGGTAACTCTGAAGTGCCTTTTTTTCCCTTCCCCGACTCTATCCTCACATAAGCCCTCTTGATCTATAACGGTAGCACGACTCGGGTTGTGAATGATCACAATCACCAATTCTTGTCATGTGTCTATGTATGTATGTCTGATCTCAGAATTGTGTGTACTGAAACTCTAATTTCCCTCTGGGATCAGTAAAGTATCTTTGAATTTGAATTGAATTTGAATTTAATCACAGAGGAAGCAGCACGCATCTCTGCCGTCCGTCTGACAGCGCCAGAGTTGGTGTGCGCTTTGATTGAATAAGTGTGAGTGAGAGCGAAGGCCGCTCTGTCACTGCGTCTCGTTATTGGTGGTATTTCAACCAAAGTTTACATCACTCACTCCCACATGTGCTCATGTGCACCCATGGACCGTGGTTCTGCTGGAACGCGTCTGTGACCTGTGACAGATGCACTCTGAACTCCAGCTCCTCAGTGTGCTGTTAACAGTGTACAGCAGAATGGTGTCCCAGTGTGCAAATGTCATAATATAATAACGCTTTGATGCTCTGATGGGAATCTTTACCTGATTGATTTGTTACCTCCAAATGTTCTCTGTGTGTGACGTTTACAATGTCTGCACACCTGCATGAGACAGGGTGTTAATTACAACCTGTCAGAATGACTGACCACCTTCAGATTTCTCGGTCACCATTAAAAAATGATCAAATACGGAAAATATCTTGCTAAAAAAGCACTTGCAGACCAGAGCGCTGAAGCTCGGAGCGTAGTTGTGGTTCAGCGCAGTGGGGGACCAGCCATCTGTGGGTTCTGGAGAATCCCAGAGCGACCGGTGTGCTCTAGGACCAGTGTTGGCCATTCGCCTCCCCCCAACCATCGGAGATCCCAATCATAGGATCGAGCAGGCTGCAGCAACGTCCAGCTCACCCTCCCACCCACTGCTTTAAGTGAGCCTGTACGGCCACTTCCAATTTGGAGTTTTTCCGCTCATTTACTAGTCAAAATTTTTGATGAAATATCTGCCCGTCCTCAAACACCAGCCATCCACTCCCCCGCAGCACCGCCCCTCCTGATACACCACAATCGCACTCCACGAGGGGCCGCACATGAGCAGAAAGAACGCCGTGAGGCGTGCTGCGCATGTAGCTCTGTTGGCCCAAGCAGAGGAGAGACAAAACAGAGACACGTTATCCGAGACCGTGCACGTTCCTGCAGTGGAGCAGCAGAATCTGACCAGCCAGTGGTTAAATGCGCCGACAGGCATGTGGATAGATGACATCCAAACGAAAATATAGATCAGGAGCAAAGAAGAACTCAAAACAAGAGTGTGTTTCACTTGAGAGTGGGTTTGTTTAAAACAAACATTGTAAGCCAACATCTCAGTTGCTGCTATTCATGAGAAAGAATAGAGGGATAACTCTGTCACCCTGATGCAATCATTTTCAACTTGTGCAAAGGAAATGTTAACAATTGCTACTTGAAACTGTAACGAAATTTGTAAAATTCACATTTCACACTTTGGATAAGTAAATCTCTATTTTTATAATTGTTGTAACAATAATAATCATTATTATTGGAAATTACCAAAATGAGCACAGAGTTTGAAATTGTGCCTCTCAGTAATAATAAAATAACCACATCTGTATAATGTGGAGTAAAACATGACAGGAAATGACATCATCATACCATCAAAACATTAAAATCTGTTACACTAATAATGCAGAGGTAAACTAAAGGTAAGAATTGCTCTTAGGTGTATTTATTCGTTTTTATTAGACTGATTAATCAAGGTGGGACACCTGAATGTTTCTCCTTACACCAGCACCACATATGGGCTGTAGCAATACCGGAAAAATAAGAATGATTACACAACAAGATGTGCGTGGCCTTCAACACCCTCCCGAAGCTGAGCACTGCCACCCTACACGCCCCCACAAACACAAACGGAGTGGCACTCGTGTGCATACCACCGGCAGGGCAGCCTGACATGGGCTACGGTTTGATCAATGGTGAGAAGAACTTTCATATAGCGCCTCTCAAGATAAAAATCACAAGACGCTTCACAAAAATAAATAAATAAATAAATTAAAGTATAAAATATTTCAAATATGTTTGAGGAGAAAAGAAAAAAACGTAAGGAAAGGGAGAGAGGAAATGAATAGGAAAGAGGGAAATCAGTGGATCCCGGGAATGGCCGAAAAACAGCAGAATAAGGAGAGGGTGGTGATGAAGGTCCCACCAAAGCCTGAACAGGTGAGTTTAAAGGAGGCTACTGAGTCCACTGATCTCAGGCTCAGGGGGAGAGAGGTCCAGAGTCTGGGGGCCACAGCAGCAGATGATCTGTCACCTTTGACCTTTAGCCTGGTGCTGCACAACCAGTAGGCTTTGACCACTGGACCTCAGGGACCTGCTGGGGGTGTAGGGACTGAGAAGATCACCAATGTATGATGGTGCTTGTCCATGTAAGGCCCTATAGACCAGAACCAGGATCTTGAAATGAACCCTGAAGTTGACTGGCAGCCAGTGAAGCTGGAGGAGAAGCGGGGTGATGTGGGTGTGTTTGGAGGACTTGGTCAGAATCCGAGCACAGGGTGAGAGCTGGGTCAAAGGTCACACCAAGATTCCTGACGGAGGGTTTGGTGTGGGAAGCAAGCTGACCAAGAGAGTCTCTGACTTTGGGAACCAGCTTGTCTGGGGCACAGATGAGGATCTCAGTCTTATCTTCATTCAGCTGAAGAAAGCTCCCAGCCATCCAGGTTTTAATAGAGTCTAAGCAGGTGTGTAACAGCTGCAGCTCAGACATCTCATTGGGGTCTACAGGAGATCTGCATAAAGATGGTAGGAGACTCCTTTAAAAGAGATCAGGATGTGCACGTGAACACTATCCAGGTTTACCCATTAGAATGCTGAGTGTAGTAACTAAATGTACTTGAGATTATAAAAAGATCAGTAAAATCAAGTCATCTGACTCGCCATTGACCTAAGCAGCAGCAGATTGTGAAATTGTGTGTGGTACCTCTCCCATAAAGGTGCTGTCCTCCTCTGAAGACCTGGGTTTGTCCCATACTGTCAGCTCCAACATGTGGTTACGGAAATCCTTTCGATGAACATGAGGGTAGACAAATGTCTGATTCCATTTGGGCTCACACGTCTTCCTCACTGTTTTTGTCCTTCGTTTGCTTTTGTCACTGCAGAGACAGATTCACAGCATGCATCTCCAAAGTACTCATGGACCATCAGCTGAAGATACCAGTGAGCTTTCAGAGCCTTAATGATGTTAAAGATGGCCCTCTTTGGACATAATTTACTGGCTTCATATTTTCATGCAAATAAAGATATTTAACAAGACTCGTGTCATGGAAATGTGTGAGATAAGTTTCTCCTACACCAGACTGTGAGAGAGTGGTCAGTTGTACCTGCGATCTGGGAGGAAGTACATTTTGATGTAGGGGCTTCTGGGACGCCCATCAGGCCGAAGAGGTAGCTCCACAGCCTGCAGCACGTTGACAATTAACTGGTGGCCCACTTTGTCATACCAAAGTTTCACCTGGATAAGAAGCACAGACATTACTGACGCTTTCATTTCAGACAAAAATACTTGACTAAATGACAGTACTGTAACTCACTAAGAGTCGGCCCGGCATCGGCTGTGGAGCAACTTCGAGCATACCAGGAAAGGAGGGAGACAGGATATTTAAAGATGGTCTCTCCATCTTCTGGGACTCAAAAGAACTGGAGCCTGCTATCAAAAGGTTAGAAATAAGGGTGAAGAGCGTCAGCTCGGATACTGATTAGACAAGTGAAATGTAAAAACTCATTCAGTCAAATCCTAAATATTTTTCATGTTTGGTAGCTCTTTATAATAATGTGAGGAATGAACACAGAAGAGTTGGAAGATAAACCTCTCGAGATGACAAATGACCAAGAATGTAATCTACTGGGAGTGCGCAAGGGTCGTTGTGAAGAAAGTCAAGTTGTTTTTGAATCTCTGGTCAAATGCACTAAAACGTACAAAACACGTGTCGTCTCTGACGTGATTCACAGACGCATACAAAAACGACGGATACAACTCCAACTCACATATAACACGGATTTAACAAAGTCCATGTTTATCTCAGGTGTTCTAATAATGCCGTTGACTGCTTTACAGTATGAATGAATCAACATATCTATTAAAACACATTCGCTGCTTAATGTAATTGTTCTTAACCTGTGAAGTGAGGAAATCGTCTTATGAGCCAGAATAAGACGTTTCCATTAAAAGGGAGTTAGATTAAAGTCTTGTCTCCAGGAGGGATGTCTTGTGAGGAGACCTTGGAGTTGACAAGGATACAGAAAGGCCAGGAGATTGTCGCCTCCTCCTGGTGTCAGGCCTACACAACCTGTGCCTCGGGCAGAAAGTTAGCCTTTGGCACACCGATGAACCAGGCTGTGGACAAATACCCTTTCATCTCATGGCCTTGGCCACGTTACAACGGCTCTTCATGGAGGAGCCTGTCACGGTCAGAGGTGAGTGCCTCCAGCTAACCGTATGTGAGTGCTTAATAATTACAGGTGGGCGGTGCCGTGGAGTGGGCAGCTGCTGCTGATTTGGCCATCAACCAGTCTGGTATTTAGGAAGGAGTGAGACAACAGCTCAACGCCAGATGATTACTCATTTTGAGTATAGCTCAGCTTGAGAAATCTCACGTCAACTTGTGGAGTCTTAGAATCCTCTTGTGAATTCTCCAGTTCCCTGTTTGAGCCCCTAATCCTCCTGTCTCCAGGTACTGTCGCCACATCCATCCGCAGCCATAACTACAGATTTCATCTCTAGCCCACGTCTCCTCCAGCCTGCCAGACTTCCAGTTCTCCCCCGTTCACCTGCTCTCACCTTAAACTCTTCTGGAGCCTGGCTACTACCTCTGACCTGACCCGCTCCCTCCGAACCGGTCACCTCTGCCGTAACCATAAACCCTCCTCCTCCTTTGCTGTCTTCCACACTAAAATCCATCCACTGATATCTCTGAGTTACAGAACCTCACTCAGGACCGAGGCCAATTATCTCTGACTGACCGTTTACAGTGCTCCTAAGTTCTGTCACAAACTACATTTTATTTAGCCTTCACCTTGTCTGTGATTGATTCTGCATGTCTTGGGTCAGGAAACTACCCAAAAGTATGACAGAATCACCCAGCCATGCACCTGACCTGCAGAATCTGTTTCCCCCCACTGTTCCAGACACTTTAGTTCAATATAAGAGAACTCTCCACACGGTCCTAGAACAATCAGCTAACTAACCAGCGCCTTCACCAACTAGAAATATTAGTTTGCTAAATGTGTGGTAGACCCCCTGTTTCACCCGGATTGTAAGTGCCTGCAGCACCAGCTTCCCAACTTTTCCGGGCTGCCGACTCACCGCCTCCAGAAACATTCAACGGTGAGTCAGATGAAAGTTTAGGTTTTTTATTGCAATTTAACCTCTCCTTTGAACGTTCACCTGCTTCATTTCCACTTTATGCTGCAGAGATCTCATATGCTGTCGGACACTTAACTCATTAACTGCATTTGACGACAAAACTTGTCATTTTAAATCCAACAGTTCACTTTTTTTACTGTGTGGGCATCGGAACGAGCCCCCGCGCTGAGAGAACAAGCATCCAAGCTATAAAGCCGATCTTCATCCGCATACGTCACACGTCATGTGGTCAGGAAGCAGAAAATCCTGTTAGGAGATCGTTTTGCTAAGTGCTAACTAAGCATCTGCTGAAGCAGTTTGTAAGAGGCTGTTGGGACAATACCCTGATCAAAAGGTTGCAGTTGGAGCAAAACATGACAGCCCCGCCAGCATTCTCCGAGCTCCTGCTGTTAGTATGGACAGAAGAGGATAAACAAAGAGTGAAGTACAGCTTAATGCAGAACATGTTGTTTCTGGCTCCTCCAGGTCAAAGGTCAATGTCCAATTTCAGGGTGCTGAAAGCTGTGATTGTGCATGTACCTCGGGCCTGGAGATCAAAGAGCTGAAGAGACAGGTGCAACGTGTTCAGCAGCAGCTGTCTGTCCTCCTCTCTACCCAGAAGACACCAGCAGGGCCAAGAACTGCATCCTGTCAGCCGAGTGTTCATTCTTCCCAACCTGTTGCAAAACCGCGGCCCTGGTATTGTTTCAGGTGTGATGAGGACGGACATTTATCTTCTTCCTGTACCAGTGAGCCCAACCCCAGCCTGGCTGAGAAGAAGAAAAAACAACTTCGGCGGAAACAACAGACATGGACCAGCTCCAGGGGGTCATCAAACTAGCAAAAACCTTGACCAGTGCCAACTTGGGGCCAATTTTGGCACTAAGAGCACAGGTCAAGTTCTTCTAAATGACACCCCTGTGAACTGTCTTTACGATACCAGCTCCCAAGTTACTACCATACCCGACTCCATATACAGAGAGTATTTGACAGATCACAACATTGGACCCTTGAATGATCTGTTGGTAGTGGAGGGAGCGAATGGACAGTTGGTGCCTTACTTGAGGTACATTGAACTGAGGGTGACATTTCCACCAGATTTCTTAGGGTCTACTATTACTATTCCAGACATGGAAACAAGTCACCTGTAGCCCATTTCTTGCACACGCCTGTACACGGTTGCTCTGGATGTTTCTACTCCAGACTCAGTCCACTGCTTCCGCAAGGTCGCCCAAGGTCTGGAATCGGTCCTTCTCCACAATCTTTCTCAGGGTCCGGTCACCTCTTCTCATTGTGCAGCGTTTTCTGCCATACTTGTTCCTTCTCACAGACTTCCCACTGAGGTGCCTTGACACAGCACTCTGGGAACAGCCTATTCATTCAGAAATTTCTTTCTGTGTCTTACCCTCTTGCTTGAGGGTGTCAATGATGGCCTTCTGTACAGTAGTCAGGTCGGCAGTCTTACCCATGATTGTTGTTTTGAGTAGTAATGAACCAGGCTGGGAGTTTTCAAAAGCCTCAGGAATCTTTTTTTTTTTCACTAGTGGAAGATGGCGGTGCCAGCAGTGGGCACGGCGACACATCTCTCAGCCTTCAGATTCTTGCTGCTTTTATATGTTCTGAATGTGTTTATGGCATCTTTCATAGTGTTTCTGGCCTGCTCGTTTATGATCGCCAGACACTTTTTGAAATCAAGGAATCCTATGAGCTTTTTTGGAATTATTTTTTATTGGGAGGATGCTCATCAAACCTCCCTCCTCCACCTGTCATCTCAGCTGCTCCCGCCTCTCCTCATTCGGTCACAGGCTCTCTCTAGCAGAGGCCTCGGAAAAGAGGATGGCGCTCAGGTGTGCTTGTCAGAATTAGAGCTTATCAGCGGTTAGTCCGGAAAATTAAGCCGTCGATGGATCCAGCCGATCTTCCTAGGAGACCAGGAATCACCGTTGTATCAGATGACGGGAGCTTTTCGGCCGAGGAAGCCACATCACGGGAGACGCGGCGTGATATTTTCGAATCTTTCCCAGATTCCAAGCAGATGCAAAGGGTTCTACAATTAAGATGTGTCTGCTCGATTCCAGATCCCTGATAAATAAAACTTTTATTCTAAATGACTTTTTTAAAACGCATCAGCTGGGAATCATGTTCTTGTGTGAAATGTGGATCCAGGGAGAGTCTGTGCCATTTTATGAACTTATTCCTCCAAATTGCTCTTCTTTAAATACCCCTCGGACTTCGGGGAGTGGTGGAGGGTTGGCTACAGTGTACATGAACTGTTTTCGTTGTCACAAACTACCTCAACCTAGTACCTTCTGTACTTTTGAACTCCAAATCTTTGAGCTTTGGCTTATCTACCGCCCTCCCAAAATGAACATTAACTTTAATAGAGAGTTCTCTGACTTTGTAGCTGGAGTCGCTCTCGAGTATGATATGTTTTTAATTGTTGGCGATTTTAATATTAATTTATGTTGTGAGGCCAAACCCTTGGTTAAGGAGTTTTTAAAGATCATTGACTCATTTAACCTAGTTCAGTGGGTTACTGGTCCAACTCATGAAAAAGGTCATACGCTGGATTTAGTTTTGTCACATGGTTTAGGTGTAAACATTACAAACATTGTCGATCAGGGTATTTCTGACCATTTTCCAGTCCATTTTACATTGGAATTACACGGCTCAGTGGAGAGAACTGCAATGCAAGGACAGAGAAGATTTTTTAATGACAAGACTGTCTCTGATTTTTCTGCTGAATTCTCGGATGTTGATTTTATGGACTCAACTTCTGTCAATGACTTAGCTGATTTTTTTAAATTCTACTTGCTTAAACATCCTTGATACTGTGGCTCCCCTGAAAGCTGTGCAGTATGATAAAAAAAATTCTGGAACCATGGCTGAATGAAACCACACGTGCCTGTAGACGGGAGTGCAGGCGTGCTGAAAGGAAGTGGAAGAAGGACAAGCTACATGTGTCTCTACTTGCACTGCGTGACTGTCTGACTGTTTATCAGAACTGTGTGAAACAGGCAAAATCGGAGATCATGTGCAACCTTGTTTCCACCAATAGTCACAGACCGCAGGTTTTGTTTAGTGCTTTTAACAGTATTGTGAACCCCAGCATTGGAAGTAGTTGTATACCTTCTCAAAAATTATGTGACCCCTTTTTGTCTTTTTTTATCGGAAAGATTTTAGAGATTAGATGTTTCATTTTAACATCCTCTATCTTTGATCCAAGTTCTTATCCAGACTGTTTAACATCTTAGTGTCAGTTTCAACCTGTCTCCTTAGGAGTTATCAGTTTTTTGTCCATTATT